GTGAGACGTTTTGTTACGCGCTTAAGACGATTATGAACGCGTCGCGTCGCCAATGATGACGACGACGACGACGACGACGACGACGACGACGACGACGACGACGACGACGACGACGACGATGACAATGATGATTATGATTATGATTATGATGATGATGATGACGATGACGATGACGATGACGATTGCGGTCGCGGTCGCGAGTCTTTCGCGCGCTACCGTCACCACCGCCGCCTCCTCCTCGTCTCTCCCTTTCCGCAGACCATGACTTCTGGTTCCTACCGAAGGGTCACCGCTGCCACCGTTGTGAAAAAGCGGGCGAGACGTAAACAGAATCTGACAGCATTTCGGCGGAACTCGCGTCTTGGATCTGCGCGCGAACGTGTCGCTGCGCTCTCTCGTTTGTATCTCGCGAGAGGAACGTATTTTCCCGCTGCGGACAATGCGTGCGAGCGTATTTCCGCATGATATGCGTACACACTTGTCGCTTTGTTAATAACATCGGGACGGCGGCGGCAAGGTACGTGTGACGTTTTTGTCGAAATACATTGCTCGTCTCGCTTTTTTCGGATGACAGCCAAGTGTCGGCGGAATCTAGGTCTACGTTTCGCAACGTCATTCTAGAGTGAATCCTCCGCGCGCCGTCGGGTCGCCTCGAATTAATCGTGTACTCATTCATAAGTACAACGGAAGTGATATTCTATTAATAGCCCGCGAGGGAGATTATGTCAGCTTCTAACAATCTGTCTCTGGCTGAGAACGTTCTTGCGGAACAAATCGTCGACCAAGTTGAAATTCGAGCTTCGCTTTGTTAGTACGACTGGAAATTATCCGCACTCGATAATCCCCCATGTTCTTCGCATATTTTTGAAAAAGGAGATATATATCTTGTTCTTTCGATGCGTGTTTACGGATCCTATACCCTTGTTGGTCGTCGCAGGTAGTGTTAGGCACCCTTTTGTTATCCTTGTTCGAGCAAATTCGCTTTGTCAGTGTCACGTTTCGTCCGCAATAAATACTAGAGACTTCCCCATCGGGCGCACAGAACGTCATTTCGTTTCTTTCATTTGACTAACGCATCAGCCAGGACACACTCGACGGAATGTTTCACGGAATTCTTGCTCGGCGGAAGCATACGTGACCGACGCTCCGCCGTAATAATACGAGTCGCGCGCGATTGCAATTGGCCGAACTTAGAAATCTCCGTTTCACGGAGATTACAACTTTCTCGCGCATGGGGAGAACCGCTCTTTGAGAACCGCTGGCGCAGATAAGCGGACGTAGAAACGCGCGAGCCGCGCGCGTTGAGCTTGAGGAAAGGAGGAGCGCGCGCGCGCGCAGGCAGAGGAGAGGATAAAAGAGAAAAGCGTACATCCTATTTCGCAACAAACGGTCCGAATCAAACGGATTAATATCGCTCATTATTTTCCTATGGGCCGATGCTTCTCGCGTCGGTGAATTACGTCGAATTACGGAACACGCGCGCGCCGGCTCTCTCAAGGAGCCCAACAACCTCGGCCCGCTCGCGGGTTAATCGCAGTTAGAACTAATCGACGCCGATGTAGCCGACCTTTGGAACGCGCCTACGCCAATATCGACAATTGATAGCACGATAATACGCGAGTCGCCGCCGTCGTTATTGTCGTCGTCGTCGTCGTCGTCTTCTTCTCGCGCGAACGAACGCGCTTCTGCCTTCTCGCGGATCGTGTCGTTGCGCTGTAATGCGCATGCTGACCATTTCTTTGCCAGCGCGTATAACGGTATTCGCGATGCGGACTCGCACGGCGAGTGGAGAGCTTTCCTCGCGCGAGCGAGCAGTGCCGATGAGAGAATCCGTTTGCCGTGTACGCGAGAGGCTGCGAGTTGTACCTATCTTTGTCTCTTTCCTCTTCTCTCCCTTTCTCCCCCCCCTCTCTCTCTCTTTCTCTCTCTCTCTCTCTTCCTTCCTCACAAAGAGAGAAACCTCGTTCTGCTCGCTTAACCTCTGTATTATCAGGAACTTAATTCTAGTAACCGCATATTGTTCCTTTTCTCTTGTCCTGGTGGGGAAAAAAAATGTCCGGGAGAACTTGGGAAAATGGTTGGAACACTTGTCAGGATAGCGTGAATTCGTGTCTCGTTGGGAAAGCCTGAATTTCGGGGGGGGGGGGAGACGTGTGTCTGTAATTTGTAAGGTTTATTTAACGTATAAAAAGGTGGACCTTATAAATTTTGTAAGACGAGTTAATCTACCGTAGCTCTCTGAGGATTCTCTTTATATATATATGTGAACTTCCACGCGTTCTGTGTATGTGTGTGTGTGTGTGTGTGTAATGAGATACGTGTGTAACGAGATATATATAATGAAAAATAATAAAGAAAGAAGTTTGATCTTTCGCGGGCGAACGCGACGTATATATCGAAGACGAATGAAAATTCCAAAGTATAAGAAACGATTAAAAAGTTTAAAAGGACTCTCGCCCTCCCGTAGCGAGGATAAAGAGTTCGACGCGGCTCGAGCTGAGGATTACGCGAATATATATTCCGAGCGTTCTGGAGAGAGACGGGAAAGACAGACAGAGAGAGAGAGAGAGAGAGGGGGGGGGGGAGCGCGTAGGAAAAAAGAGAAAGGAGAAGAGAATAAAGAAACAAATAATTTGTGAAAAGCCGCTGATAAGGATCATTGTAAATCATTCGCCAAGAGAATGCTTATTTTTCGTCATTGACATAAATTTGCATCGCAACGAAACGTGGCCTTGAAGATGTCGCGATATGATCGACGGTCGCCTTAACGTATAATCGCCTCGCACATTTTTTATTTACGTTCGAAAAAAAAGTTGTATATACATACTCCGGCAATAATTAAGAAATTTCGAGATGATTCGCGTCCGAGAAGGCAGGGGTCTTGGCAAGATCGAGCACAGAGATGGAAAAGGATTACGTAACAACGTCCTGCTCTGTCGCAAGAGAGAAGCCAACTAGAGCTCGCGAGAGATTAATTAGCGCGGAGATAAAATCGGAAGCGCTTTATTATTATTTTGTTGTTGTTCTCGTACTCCTCCTTTTTTTAGCTCCTTCATAAAAGCTGATTACCCTGTTGTAGCAAACTCTCCGTAGTAAAACTCGTCCGGCGGCGCATACGTCGCCGCGGTAGGGTCGGGGGCACTCTCGAGAGAGAGTTTTATTCTCCCGGAGAACAATTCTCGATAGTAAAATTTCCGGCGTACATCGAGAGCGACACTTAATGAGCACCCAATTGAGAGTTTTATTCTCCAAGAGCGATCCTCAATAATAAAGCTCTCTCTCCCTCCTCTCCTTCCCCCCCCCCCCATCTCCTTCTCTATCTCGAAAGTGCACTTCGCCTCTCTAACCTCTGTAGACATCGCGAAACGTTTGTGATTCTTCTCCCGCTACAAATTCGCGCGCGCCGCCATCGAACTGCATCATGCGCGCTCATTATTGGAGATCGTCAGTCCCGACCGGCAATTTTCTATTCGCGCTTATATTCACAACTATAATTATCGAGTCTCACAAGTATGTTAATAATGTGTACTTTATGTACAATTGCGGCGGAATAACATCGTCATCATACTCGTCTTTCGCAAAGTAAACCTGTTTGATCAGCTGTTTCCTTTTTTTTCTTTTTCGTTTTTTTTTCCTTCGTTTTATTTTCTGTTCTTCGTTTTTCTCCACTTTTCTCCGCCCTGAGGTGTAATTTGTTTCCTTCTTGCGATAAGAGCGTAACCGCGAGCGACGATCCGCGTTTTCTTTAACAGAAAACTTTATCGACGACCGTCGTTTATCAGCGACAGGGGAAAATGCATGTTCGACAAGAATTCATTCATGCGACAATCGCGGTATCGGTCTCGTGTTTATGCTTATCTCACGGTCTGTGCGTATTTTACTTGCAAACCGATCATGAGGACAGAGAGAGAGAGAGAGAGAGAGAGAGAGAGAGAGAAAGAGAGAGAGAGAGAGAGAGAGACAGCTAGACGCAAGCGGAAGGTATCGCGTTAGCGCTCGATGCATAACTTTCTACTACATGGGCTGAAAAGTCTTTGGCTTAACAATGAAAAAATGATTTTTTTAATGAAAAAAGTGTTTTATTCCTCGACATAATCTCCATTTAGAGTAATGCACTTAGTGTAACGGTCCGCTAACATTTCGATGCCGGTCTTATAGTGCTCGGTGTCAAGTCCCTCAAAATAGGCATTTGTTTCCAACTTGACCTCCTCATTCGAGTAAAATCTTTTACCAGCGAGCCACTGCTTCAGTCGGGGATAAAGGAAATAGTCGCTGGGGGCCAGGTCTGGAGAATACGGGGGATGCGGGACCAATTCATAGCGCAATTTCTTTAATTTATCGGTCGTATCGCGAGCCGAGTGAGCTGGAGCATTGTCTTGGTGAAACAAAATTTTTTTCTTTGCCAAATGTGGCCGTTTGATCTTGACCTCGTCGTCCAATCGATCCAGTAATGTACAGTAATATTCTTTATTGATAGTTTTACCATGTTCAAGATAATCAATGAATATTATGTTATGCGCATCCCAAAAAATACTGGCCAAAACCTTGCCGGCTGATTGTTGTGTCTTCGGGCGCTTCGGACGGCTTTCACCAGGCAATAACCACTCCGCTGACTGCCGATTGGACTCCGGTGTGTAGTGATGGATCCATGTTTCATCCATTGTGACAAATCGACGCAAAAACTCCTTCTTATTGCGGTTAAACAGGGTCAGATTTTGCTTTGAAAGTCGAACACGTTCCGCTTTTTGCTCAATTGTCAAAAAACGCGGCACCCAACGCGCGCAAAGCTTTTTCATGTGTAAATATTCATGAATGATATGACCAACGCGTTCCTTTGAGATGCCTATGATGTTATGCTAGCTCACTCAATTTCATTTTGCGGTCATTCAACACGATTTCACTGATTTTCTGGATGTTTTCTGGAGTAACTGCCTCATTTGGCCTTCCTGAACGTGGTGCATCATTTGTGCTCGTACGGTTACGACGAAACTCAGCAAACC